GGCAAGTGTCATTTTGCCCAGCTTTGCCAGCTGACCTTTCTTCAAGAAGGTCTTCTTTACTTTTTTGTCAGTGCTACTTCCAGATTTGGTTTTGCCTTTGGTCAAGGCTGAGGCTGGCTTGCCTTTTGTCAAGGCTTTCATGGGCTTCTTCATGGCTTTTGCCTTGCTACCTGCCATTACTACAATTTGAACCAGAACAAATGGCTGCATAAACTCAGATACAAACCTTATCATAAGGATTTGGAATGAATTATGGATGCAAACCTTTTGAATGTTGTTTACTAAAACCTTGTCAAAAGGTTTTGGACAGTTGGATTGGATAACTGTGTGCACAAACCTGTGTTTTTTCTATTTCTAGTTTTCTTATTTCCTATTTAATACTGTTTTAATACTGTTTTTCTATTTCTAGATTATTTATACACAATAATTTAAAAAAATATAGAAACATAAAATTTGATCAAATCTGATCAAATTTTATGTTTCTATATTTTTTACAATTATTGTGTATAAATAATCTTAGACACAATATCAGACTTTGACCAAAGGCTTTTGGAGCCTTTTGTCCCTTGTGAGATATATGGTCCCTTGTGCCAAGAAACATCTATAGATTGATCTGTCTATCTATTTGTGGTTTGTTGGCTCATGTATTTGTTCTCTTTTGTCAAGAGATAAAATTAAAATGGCCAGTGACATTTCTCAAAGAGAGTTAACTCATACATTCATTGGACTCTTTTTGCCAAGAGAGTTAATGACTGGTTTCTCAATAATTCTTAAACATATGTATGATCGATCTCTTTTGTCAAGAGATTTATGTTTCAATTATCTCTTTTGTCAAGAGACTTGTCTTTCAATCATCTCTTTTGTCAAGAGATTTAATCAAAAAATAAATAACAAGGGTTGAACAATACCCTGAATACTAATACCTTGAATTAATAAATAATATACTAATATTGAATGATATACTAATATTGATTAGGTGGTCTCTTTTGTCAAGAGATATTCATTATATCTAAAACATATCAAATTCAATACATATATGTATATAAATATATTTAATTCATTCATTTATTATTTCAATTCTTTTTCACTCTTTTACCACCAATTCTCCACCCTTAGGCAAAAAGAGAATGGTGCTGTACACAGGCATGCAACCTTTGACCTTTTGTCAAGGCCAAAGGATGTAGGGTGAAACAAAAAGCTGGCAAGGTGAAACAAAAAGCTGGTTGCTTTGACCTTTGGTCAAGGTCAAAGGCTAGCTGGTGGGCTGCTGTATGACCTTTTGTCAAGGTCATAAAGGGGCTGCTTTTGTCAAGCAACCCCAGGAGGTCTGCAATGACCTTTGGTCAAGGCCAGGCAGCATTGGCATGTCAACTCATTTTTTGTCAAAATGAGTTGCACTACCTTTGGTCAAGGTAGTGGGGTGGCACTCAAGGCTCAGCATGGTGACCCAGGAAGGCCTCCACAGCATCAGCCAGGCAGTTGTAATGCTTCTGGCCTGAGTGCCACCCAATTCTGTAGACTTCCATGCCAAGTGCCTCACATTCATTGCAAACCTCCTCATTATCATCAAAGATATAGCGCACCCCCCACTTCTGCATCAATTGAGCCTTCCCATACCAGCCAGATTTCTGGCTGGTAAAGCTCAAGTGAGCTATGAGGGTGCGCCTATACCTTGCCAAGGTCCCAATGGTGGCTTGATTTCTCTTGTGGCCACCAAATGAGATGACCCACACCTTCACCCCTGCTCTCTGCAGGGTGTGAAGGGTGTCCTCATCCACCCAGTCATCGACCTCCAAGGTGTTGTGGAAGTCGATGGCCACCATCTCAGGCAGCAGTGGCTTGAAGGCCCAGTGGATCTGGCCCAACTTTGCCACCTTGGCTTCACCCCTTTTGTCAAGAGGTGCAGCCTCACTGCCAGAGCCAGCAGGGTCAGAGCTCTGTGAGCCCCCCCAGTCAGGGCTGGAGGGGCTTGGCTCCCAAAGAGAGGCACCCTTCTGGGTCCAGCCTCTCACCTTGCCATCCTTCTTGGCCTGTGCTTCACTTGGGCCAAGGGTCTTTGCCTCACTTTTGTCAAGTGAGGCATCTGGCTTCACCTCACTTTTGTCAAGTGAGGAGGGCTCTGCTGGGGCCTCTTGCTTCACCTCACTTTTGTCAAGTGTGGTGCTCTTGGATTCATCTGCTTGTGACACTTCCCTTTGGTCAAGAGAAGTGTCACTGCCATCACCTTTTCCCTTCTTTTCCTTTCCCTTCTTAGGGCCTTTCTTCCCTTGGCCCTTTCCCTTCCCTTTGCCCTTTCCCTTTGGGATCTCACCTTCATGATCCCCTTTGCCCTTCTTCTTTGGGCCTCCATCTTCATCTGCTTGGGAAGGGCTCTTTCCACAACCCTTTCTTTTGTTCTCCCTTTTGTCAAGAGAGACTGCTCCTTTTCCTTCTTTTTTCACCTCCTCCTTTTTCACCTGAGGCTCCTTGGGCTTCATCATCTCTGCCACCTCTTCTGGTGACAGCTTCCTAGCCTTGGTGTTTCTTCCCTTTTCCATCTCCCAGTCCACCTCCTTGGAGAGCTTGTCTTCTTCTCCCATGTTCTTGTTTTCTCTCTCCATGCCTTTCTTTTTAAAGGCCTCTCTCCTTACATTTGACACTGTCCCAGTGCCAGTTGCCCTGCCCTTGTTGTTCCTCAAAGGAAACATCCTTTGGTCAAGGATGTTCCCTTGGCTGGGCCCTTGAAAAAACACACACTTCCTTTTGTCAAGGAAGTGGCAACTCGATACTACTTCTTGAGCCAAACTGCCAAACATTCACATTACCTCCTAAACCCTGTGCCTGGTGGGCCTAAAGCCCTGGAGAGAACCCTCAACCCTGGACCTGGTGGACCTTAAAGAACCCTATAGATAACCCTAGAGGGTAACAGCAACAACCATAACAACCAGCAACCACCAGCAACCACCACCACCACTACTATATAGTACTATATACTATACTCTTTCTCTACTGCTACTACAACCACCACTACTCCTACTACCCCACTACTACACTAACCTTTCTCCACCAGCCCCCATCTTGAAGCAGCTTTTTTTTCATGGGGGCATAGCTCTGTTGTAGCTCTCCTTTGGTCAAGGAGAGCTGTTTCCAAAAAGTTGCTGCAGCTGCCCTTTTGTCAAGAGAGCTGCCACCTTAAAAAACAGCACACCCCTTTGGTCAAGAGGTATTGCTGATCTGTACATATAGCTGCTTGCTTCCCCTTTGGTCAAGGGAAATTGTTGCTGCTTGAGTGCTCTGTGGTCAAGGGTATGAAGGATTCTTTTGTCAAGAATCCTACCAAGTGTTGTACAAATGGGCCCTCAAATCCACAGCTTCTGCTTTGGTAAGGTGCTGTGTGATGAGCCTTCTCTTGATTTCAGCCATGATGTCCAGGTACTGCCTGTGGCCAACCTTAGTGGTCTCCACAATCAAAGGCAATTTGCCTTTGCCACCTGGTGCAGTGGTGCCACAAATGTAAGTCCTCCAGGGTGGTTTTCTTGGAGTGGTCACCCTCAACTTTGTCCATGGCTTCCTTGTGCTTGGTGCATGATCTGCAGGTGCCTTCTGTGTTTTCTTCTTTTTGGCCTTGCCTTTTTTTGCCTTTGGAGAACCTTTTGTCAAGGAACTCCCTGTGCTTGGTTTCTTTTCCTTCTTTTTGCTGGCAGGCCTCTTGGCAATGCCTAGATCTTTTTTCAAATCCATTGGCTCATGGTTTTTTGCAGCTTTTGCTGCAAGTTGCCCTGGCCTTTTTTTCAAGAAGGAAGGGATTCCACCCCCTTTGGTCAAGGGGCCTTCCTCCCTCTCTTCCTCATTGCTTTCACCCCCTTTGGACAAGGGGAGGCATTGGCTGTCATTGGATTTCTCTGGTTCAGGGGTGGCAAAGCACCTAGGAAAACCTGAGCTGTCTAAGCTTACATCACTAATCTCCTTCTTCAACTTTTTTTGCTCAGGCTCAGGTTCTTCAGCCCTTTGGACAAGGGCTGGCTGTTCCTTCTTTGCAATCATATTTACAACCTCTTGCAGTTGCTGCAGGTCACCACCTGTCAATCTTGCAGCACATGATTGCAAAGAGGAGTTTGCCAACCTTCTCATGTGGTACTGCAAGACTCCAAGTCTTTCCACTTTCAACCCAACCCACACTGCTCCTGAAAATTGTGTATTGTTCAGGGCTGGGCGCTCCAACAAAACTTGGAAGAGTGCCTTTCTTAAGCACTGGGTATGGATTTCACATGTAGGCTCCAGCTTCACTAGCCCTTTGGTCAAGGGCAGCAGGTCTATCAAACCCTTTGGGTTGCAGGCTTGGGACCTGGAGATTCTCTCATATGACCCCATGTGTTGCAGCAAACTTCTGTGCTCTGCAAACAAAGATACCAGCAAGCCTTCATCCACTTCAGGCTTTGCAGTATGCCTTGCACCACCTTTGGACATCCCTTTTTGTCAAAGGGATTCCAGCTATACCTCTTTTGTCAAGAGGTATAGGTGAACCACAGGAGGAGCAAATTGAGCCAAAAGATCAAGGTCCAAATCAATATCCAAATCAATATTCAAATCAATATTCAAATCAATAAAAATTTCAATAAAAGTTTGCAAAAAAAATCAATAAGCAAAAACCGATTAAAATATTGAAAAAATCAATTAAAAAATGGAAATCAATATCAATAGAAAACATACCATTTCTATTGACCAGAATCAACATCCGAGCCCTAGGGGCCTATTAAGACCTCAAAAATCAGGTTTGGTCCAAGTACTTCCAGAGCAGGGCCTTTGGAGTGAACCTCTTGTGAGGAAGGGTTTAGGCAGGGAACCCTTTCTGAGCGGGTCGTTTGGAGGACTGGGTATATACAGTATATATATTCTACTGTATATATTGCTTGTATGTACATACGGACGCAGGCGCGCGGGACACGTTTGAAATTGAGTGGGAATTCTTTTGTTGGGTGGCTTGGAGTTGTTGGCCCTTTTCAGCCACATTCACCACTGAGGCTCTGGTGTGCTCCGCTTGGAGAACAGCTTGATGGAGCGGGGTCAAAACGGGACTTGCTGGCATGGGGGGGGGGCTCGGCCTCATGAAACGCAGACACTGAAGTCAAGATGCAAGTAAACTACAAGAGAGCCCCTGAACACTTCGGTGAGTTGGATACACCAAGAGCAGTTGTAGTTCCGCCTGCTGTAGACAGAGAAGATGCTATGAGTTTCCAATTTTCAGAGCCCAAGGCTTTGTTGGGGATGAACATCGGGCTCTCCTGCATCTGTACTATTATTTCACCGCCCGCCCAGGCACCAACTGGTCACAATGAAACATACATCACCGGTGTTTCGAGGAGAGTTTGCGTTGGACAGTTCAAGTGATTTATGTTTCCCAATGTTGGTGCAGCATCTTGTTCATCACCAGCATAATCCGAAAAAAAACATCTCCAATCTATTGATCCTATGGCTACAGTGGAGAAGGTCCACAGAGGCAGCAAGAGCTGCCTGAAATTCCCTGTTCTTAGCAGGTTGAAGTATTTGGGCTCCCTTTTTTCACCCTCGAACAATGTTTTTTTCACCCTCCCTTTTTTCCCACCCTCGAAACCTTTCGTTTCCACCCTCAAGATTCCTTTTTTTCCCACCCTTTGGAACCTTTCTTTTCCACCCTCCCCAAACCTTATATTTTCACCCTGCGGCCTGTTATTTTCACCCTGTAGCATGTTTCTTTCACCCTTCACCTTGTTTTTTCACCCTTCACCCTTTCTTTTTCACCCTCGACCCTTTCTTTTCAACCCTCCGCCGGTGAAGCAGGTATCCCATGGAACCTGCACAGAGAACGATGTCACCTCCGGTTTGTTTCACACCGCTTGTCCCTGCACCTGCCAAACCCTTTGTTTTCACTCCAATAGCTTCTTGTTATACTAGCCCTTCGGAACCCTCCGGAAACTGCGTAGAGACTGTCCGGAACGACGGGAACTGCCGGAAACTGACCCGGACGCCTCCGGAACGTGAGGCAGCACAGGATCCATCCATCCGTCCATCCATGCATCCATCAACGGAGTGCCAACCAACCAACCAACCAACCAAGCAACAACGCGGCCAAGCCAACAAACCCACCAAGCAACCAACAAGCCAAGCAACCGAACCACATAACTCCGTGTTTTCCCCAAGTGCTGTAGGTACTAGAAATCCCGTGCGGGGGAGGCTTGGTTGCGGCTTGGTTTGCATTGCAGGGGAGGCGCTGCGCCCTCCCCATTTACACAGCATCCGTCCATCCATGCATCCATCAACGGAGTGCCAACCAGCTGACTAACCAACCAAGTAACAACGCGGCCAAGCCAACAAACCCACCAAGCAACCAACAAACCAAGCAACCAAAACCGCCCATCCCGTAGCGCTGCGCCCTCCCCCGCACCCCCTCCCGCCTTGACTTACACAGCATCCATCCATCCATCCATCCGTCCGTCCGTCCGTCCATCCACCCATCCATCCATCCATCCATCCATCAACCAAGCACACAAACAGAAAAATTGCATATCCATCAAGCACTGTATCACGCAAGCAATCACGGCAAGCAAACCAACACACCAAAAAGTAACATTCTTCCCCCTGTCCATGATCCATCCATCACTGTATGTGTCTTCTCCAAACCCAAGCAACCGACAAGTCAAGCAGGCTGAACCAACCAACACAACAACCAAAGGAAGGAGAGTTAAAAAGAAAGGGTGGGCAGCCCACCAGCAGCAAACAAACCAAGCAACCAACCGTTTCCCCCAAATGCTGTCGATACTTGCTTTGCATTGGTAGCCCACCAAGCAACCAACAAACCAAGCAGCCAAAACGACGCAACCCTGTGTGATCCCACATGCTGTCGATACTTGGTTCGCATTGCGGGGGGGCGCTGTGCCCTCCCCCGCACCCCTCCCGCCTTTATTTACACTCCATCCATTTATGCATCCATCCCCGCCTGCCACTATCTACAGACCATCTATCATCCACCCATCAAACAAGCAAGCAACCAACAAACCAAGCAACCCAAACCACGCAACCCTGTTTTTCCCCAAATGCTGTGGGTACTTGGTTTGCATTGCGGGGAAGGCGCTGCGCCCTCCCCCGCACCCCGTCCCGCCTTTATCTACACAGCATCCATCCATCCATCCATCCGTCCGTCCGTCCATCCATCCATCCATCCACTGTTTCACGCAAGCAATCAACAGCAAGCAAACCAAGCAACCAACCCACCAAAAAGTTTTATTTTTCTCCCTGTCCATGATCCATCCATGTGTTTTCCCAAAATCCAAGCAACCAACAAGCCAAGCAGGCCAAACCAACCAACACTCCAACCAAAGGAAGTGGGATAAAAAAGAAAGGGTAGCAACCAAACTGTGTTTTCCCCAATTGCTGTCGATATTTGCTTTGCATTGGTAGCCCACCGAGCAACCAACAAACCAATCAACCAAAACCACGCAACCCTGTGTTTTCCCCAAAGGCTGTCGATATTTGGCTTGCATTACAACAAGCTAGCCAACCAACCAACACACTAAGCAAAGGAAGGAGGGTGAAAAAGAATGGGTCGAGGGTCAAAAAAGAAAGGGTAGAGGGTGAAAAAAGAAGGTTTGAGGGTGAAAAAAGCAGGTTCAGAGGGTGAAAAAGAAAGGTGGAGGGTGGAAAAAAAAGGGCGGGGTGAAGAAAACAGAGTTCAAGGGTGGAAAAAAAGGTTGCCCGAAGTATTTGGGCAACACTTTGGTTGGTGGTTTCAAATTTTGTGTATTTTTGTTTCACCCGTGCTTGTAAATGCCAAACATTCACAGTGGGTCCACCGCCTCAAGTATTTTTGCACGGTCAAACATGAAGTTCCAAGTAAACTACAGCTCCAGTTTTTGTGTGCATGGGCCAATTGAATCTTATGCAAATGTCACTCACTTTTCCTACATTGCCATCATTATTCAACATCTTCCAACTTCCAATCCCTAAATCCATCTAAATGGTCAAACCCACACTGCTTTGGGAGCTATATGATTGGCTTTCAGAGTAGGTGCTCCTTTGGGGCTCTTGCGTTTGTATTTCTAGATCCCTTTCTCAAGTGCTTGACTCTACTCTGAACCGGTTACACCCATGAACCCATTTGTGAGGAGCTGCTTTATTCAGTTTAAAAGTCATGCCTTTGCCTCCTCAATCCACTAAATGTCTTTTTGCACTTGCCAATCAATCTCTTATAATTTTTTCCTTTTGGACTGTTGGTTTACAATGATTCAATGGCTTTGCACAGAGTCTACTTGGCAGGTCAACCGCCGGTGAGCAAGGCGCCCCGGATAACGTAGTGCCTCGCCTGTTCGCCCTTGGTCCACTAATCTATACTTACATAGTCACAACCTATAGTCTACTGTCTACTCAGAGTCTACTCATTCAATCAGAGTAATTCCAAAGAACCCTGTCCAATGAAAATTACTTCAGGTTTCCATCAATTCATCCCGGATCCGGAAGCTTTGTGGGTCGGAGGAGTGTTTGGAGGTTCTGCCGGTCAGAGTGGCCCAAACACAAGCCGGATTTCCTGCCCAAACCTAGGAGCGGTGCTACCACACCCCCATGCATCGCATGCTGCGGACTGCTGCGTTGCGTTTTCTGGGCCAGGAGCTTGCGGAGGAGTCCGACGGTCTGCTTTTGCTCCCAGAGTGGGGATGGCTCAGAGGGTGGGTGGAGGCTGGTCTTTCACGACTTGAAAGATGAGGTTGGCTGGTTGGTGAATCGGTTTCGAGTCACAGGAGTCTGTGACATGTTCTTCACCACCTACCCCGGACCCAATTGGGATCTTTTGGGTGTCCTGGCTGGGCTAGCCTACACTTGGCCGGGATCTCCAGACAGGACACCCAGGTCTGGGAAGGTCCAGGTACCCAACTCTTCTCTCCGCACCGCTCTACGAAGATGGCTGCCAAGTTGCTCCCCCACGTACTCTCGATGGACTCCACCCGTTCACACCGAACTCGATGGCTCTTTCAAGCCCAAAGCGGGCGGTGCTGCGGATCGGTGTTCGATGGTTTTCTTCGATCCACGACTCGGAACGGACACACGACTCGGACGGTGGAGCAGGCGACAGGGTGACTAGTCCGCTTAAAGGTCGATCGACGGGGAAGCGAAAACCATATGCGAAAGTCCGGTTCCGGTTCCCTGTCTTCTATATATGCATGTGTTCTTTTTGTTGGGAGACCCGCTGGCCCCGGCTGCGGCTGGGTATAGACTCTATGTCCCTAATATTTCTTCCTTCTTTGCAGTGAAATCCGGGTCTTTTTTAAACACAGACCCAGATTTCAACCCTGTTCAAGACCCCGTGTGAAGAGGTTTTACAATCCGAAGCGGGGGTTATGTATATCATCGTGTTGTTCTCGCTTTGGCATTCACCGTTAAACATCGTGGGCTGACTTGAGGTGTTGTGTTCTTTTTCTTCCACACCATGAGCTGGCCAGAACAGATGATTGTCGTGTTTATGCCAGTGGTTCACGTGCGGAACCGTGCTTCTGGGTGGGTGACCCGAAGACGCCACCGGGGCGCCGGTGGTCCGTGTACCTCGAAGGTTCCTGCTGCCCCTGTGGTCAGTGAATTTTACTTTCCCATGTACATACTTAGCTAGATGGTTGTCAATGACAACTTGACAGCTAGGTTGTTTCCAGTACATTCGTTCGAGTAGCCGGGAAAGCAACCAGTGCACTCTGTGAATCACCAGTCACCCCAGCGGTCTCTGCAAAAGGTAGCCGGCCTTCTAAGTAGGCCGGGTTCGTCAGTGACTTCGACCTTCTCACGGTTGGAGAACAACATCTACACGGTCCATCGACTTATACAGCCATCCATCTTGTGTAATCGGTCCGTCTCCATTCATTGTCTCTTGCTGAACTGAGACCCGGTCGACCGGTCGAAGGTTGAGGCTCTTCGACCTCTCCAAATCTCTGCAGAGGGTTCTGCCCCAGGATCCCGTGGGTCGGGGCGAAGAGTCGCAGGTGGTTTTGGGCGGCGGTTTCGGGTGGCGAGAAGCACTGTTGGTCATGTGAGTTCTAGGATTTTAGATATCAAGTAGATATCAAGTAGATCAAGTAGTAGACTAGTAGACTCAATGCTTATGTCTTTTTGCACCAGTGTTGCAGTATCTGGGTTCGACCAGGTTCAACCATGTTTTTTTGCATCCAGAGTCGGTTTCTCCGGTAAGATGGTGGACACGAATCTTCCAAATGGGGATAAACAAAGTTTTAGTTTCAAATGGGATCGCTGCCCTTCCACCATGCGTAGACCAATAGGCATGTTACAAAGTTGCTTTTAATATCATTACATCAATCAACATATAGTTTCATTGGGCACTCTGGTTTGGAAAAGCCGTGTGATGCCGTGTTTGTTTTTTAATCTCTACGTCGTAAGGGAGCCCTCGGCACACATTCAAAAACCTGACTTTGAAAGAGGAGGATCACATGTCAGATTGCAGAATTCCATTGCTGGGCATGGCTTAAGGTATGACATTACAGACATCGTGTGTGGTGACTTGGTGGTTGCATGGCTGCCAAGCGCGTGCCACCACATGGGCTTTGGCCAGGAGTTCCACCATGCAAAGAGGCACACATGGGGGATGGAGTGGCTGACGGGAAACGGGGTGGGATGCACAGTGAAGGAAAAAGGTACAGAGATGACACTAATTTTGGGATTCTTGATGGTTCTTGCCAAAACCAAAGCACACACACAATATCTCTGCAGTTTTAAACAAAGTACTTGAGTTGCTTGCAAGATGATAGGATTCTGCAGTGATGTTGTGCAACTCTTAGACCTGGCTGCCCTAAAGCAGCCTCTTCGACCGGGAGGCTTTCGGACCCAAAACGAAGCTGGGCCTTCCGCTTTCGGAATTCGGCCGTCTGATCGATGAAGCCATCGGTCCCTTCCAACGTGGGCCGACCCTCCAAATGGCATCGCTTCAAACGGAATCGCTCGGCTCCCCCGTCCCCACCCCACGGGTCCCCGTCCCGTCTCTCGCGCGTTCTGCCCGGAACGGGCTGGGCTGGTCCAGGTTCATCGAGCAGCGCATCGTCACGCCGAAAGACCTTCCACTGAAGTTGGGATGGGATGGGCCCCTCGGCCGGGATGGCTCCCTCGCTGTGTCGAAGCGGTGCGGCTGGTTTCCGCGTTTTCGGATCCAAACGAAGGGCCTGGATCGAAAAGGATGTTCTGCGTTGGAATTGGGATGGTTTGGGGGTTGAACGGGTGGAAGCGGAGTGAAATATGGCGGATTTCCAGGGGTGAGTTGAGAGATTTGCAACAAGAGGGTGATGAATCTGGTGATATCAATATAGCGCATTCTTTTGGGGCTCAGTGAAGAAGATAAAGATAAAGCAAGAACATACTAAACACACAAAATAAGAACACCCCCCCTACCTGGTGGTTGGCAAGCCAATCATCCGTTGGCAAAGACGTTCATGGCTCAACCATGGGACACTTGTGGTTTGGGCCTTTAAAGCCTTATGAGTTCACATGACAACAAGCATTTTACTCCAATGGCACCAGTGACCAGCTGTTAGGTGCGAATGCCTCGAACATCGGCGTAGGAACAGTGGTTTGTCCAGCCGTGCTTGAACCATGCGCACATTCGTTTGTGTCCCAACATGTGGAAATTGGGGGATTCAGCAACATACCTGTGTCATATCATGGCCCGTGTGGAGAGGCATTCTCACTGTGACATGCCAAAACTTAGAATGACGGATGCAAATATTATGCATTGGTGCAGGCTTTGTTCGCCACCCCCCGATTCTCAGAGCGGCATTTTAAGTTTCAGTCCATCGCTATATTATATATATACATAATTATATAGAGTCATTGTCATGTGATGTCATGTTCGAAATTATATATAGAAACAATTGGCGCATAAGATCATTCGATGTTCCATGTTAATGTTTGTTGAGAGAAGCAACCGGACTTTGTGGGTAACTGCTATGCTCTATTGGCATCTATTGGGTATGGAATCTGGGTTGATGAATGCGGGAGAGAGCCAAGCTTGTCAGATCTCGAGAGCGCCAGCAGTTCTGAGGGTGCAAATCAACAGCCGGGAGCACCAACGTGTGGGACCTTGCGGACCTTGCTGCGAAGGTTTGAGCCATTGAAGGAAGTCCAACTTGCCGATGTCCTGTTTGTACTGCTTGAAAATAGCAGGATTAAGTATCAGTGTAATAAGAGAGGAGGCTTCGGCTTTTGCTTGGAGTCTTTATAGATTAGGCGCTAGCCGGACTCCACCTCGGGGTGACATTTCCAATCAATGCTTTGCTGTCAAAAACAACCGGAAAGGATCAGAAAAATTAGCACATTCTGAGGAGGTACTGGTATGTGCAGTTTGCGGGGTCTAACATGGTCAAGTCCTACCTTCTGAGCATGTGATTGGAGCCGTATAGATCCTTTTCAGATTCTTGGATTTAACGGATTTCACAATCTCAAGAGAACCCTCGAAAGATCCTTTTCACTGCCTTGATACAACCACAACGGTGGTGTTCATAGGCCCTGAACGCAAGTGACAGTGGCTTTCCAACAAGAGGTGTTATGGCATGGTGATGTTCGATGTTGATTTGTGGTTGTGTTGAGGTATTAGGTGCTTCGGATGAGAATTCGGGATAAATGCCTAATTACTTTATAGAAGACTCCAGAAGCATCAGCTCCACTCCTTGTACAATGCGACTGGATGGAAGGAAGTGAATGGCATTGCCCAGGTAAACGCGACTGATGACCATGGCGACGCATTGCTCCTTATAGAAACGTCGTTCGATACACCCACGCCCACACATCCACGACAGCTGTGAGGTCGCCATGGCGACACTTTCTTGGAGCCCAGCCGCTTGGGAAAGAGGCGGCAGACAAGGAACCACGCAGGTGCATGGCTCAGGTGCTTCCCCAGTGGCATTGGCAAACCTTGGATGAGGATTACCTGGCTTTGCGGGGCTTTTGGCTACGAGAACACGGGGCTTTTGGCTACGAACACACGAGCGAGAGACCACCGTTTACACGGGTTCAGAAAACGAAGGAGACGGGTTGCTCACCGTCGCTACCCGCATCTGTGATTGCAAAAGTCACTTCAGATGTTCAGCTTTGACTTGACAAAGCTGCAGAAAGGCTCGAGAAACATCCCGCTGTCATGGACGACAGGTGGTGCCCTTAATGATTCTCCAGGTGGCCACAAGAAACTCTCCCTTTTGGAACGGAAGCCTGGGGACCTTGCCTAAGAAATCTCATTGCAGCCCGATCTCATTGACTGAACTTCAATTACTAGACTAGACTCAGAGAGCGTATTCTTTTGAGCCATCAAAAGAACAACCAGTTGAAACCCTGTGAGTTTCCTGTGTGGACATGAACACGCGTGGACTGTCCTTTTGGTTCCCGTTTCAAAAGAACAGTAAACTAAGTGAACACATGAACACCGTTTGACATGTTTTTGGTTTGGGGGGCAAAGAACACACCCAAAGTGAACTGCTCGTTTGGGGTTGGCGCCTCGGTCACCAGGCGCCTCGGTCTATTTTTTGGTGCTCGAGAGCACCTCCCGGGCGGCCTTCGAGGCGGTGCTCGTGCGACGGACACGACGGACGGCGATGTCTTCGGGATGTTTTGATGTCTGTGGGTCTTGATGTCTTGGTCTCAGATAGGTGTGGGGTCTGACACTGTTGTTTTTGTTCAGTGCAACCGTCTTCTGTCAGAAAAACCATTCTCAGAAAAGCCGAGCATGGGCCTTTCTGCAACAGATTGGCTCGCGAGTCGCAGAGGCACTTTGTCCAAGAACCATGGCCTTTCTCCGTCGGCAACACGCGAAGCCTCGGCCTGTGCGCCGGTCACCGGCGAAGACGGCAGGATGGTTGGCGGACCACGGGGTGGGGATCGGCGTATCCACACTGTGGTTGTAGGGAAAAGCCGCCAGTCATGAAGTTGGGCCAGCTAAGACCGTTATAGTATAGTCATTGAAAGAATGTTAGAAGCTGCTAGTGGAAGCCGTACTTTCCAAAGCTTGGAACAATCTTTGAAGCACGTCTTCTTTGAAGCTTACCCAGTGGATCCCAGCCAACATAGTGGATCCCAGGCAGCCACTATATAATTAACGAACATCAAGGAACCAAGGTTTCGTTCTCTTAGTCGAAACGAAACGAAACCTGGACTCCCAGCGACATCGTGGCTGCCTGGTGGATCCCACTGGGCTATGAAAGCACATTGGCTCTAGCTATTAGACCCTTCAGGAGACCGAAGTCCGGCACGACGAGCGACAGCGTCGTGTGTCCGACCGGGCCAAGGGGTCAAACACGACCGGAGGTACACTTCGCTCCTAAGGGTGTACAAGAAGGGCGGACCTTTCGAGCGCCTTTGCTTGTGATTTCAGCGAGGATGTGGGATTTGGCCGACGGATGGCCTTGTGCCGAGGGAGAAAACGATTCCGCCAGACGTTGTGGATCGAGTTGTGGAACTTCTGGAATAAGCTGTTGACCTGGATTTTGCAGGATTTTGCTACATCAGGGATGAGATCTTTGTGGGAATCCAGACACCTCGATATTGGAGAGAGATTTATCATGATTTAACATCGTCCAGGTCCACTTTGCAAAGTCTCAGAAGACATGATTCAGAGCTTCAGTATCATTGTCATTCTCATGTATATGATCGACTATAGACGACTATAGATCACTAAGGAGTCAACACCGTTGGAGTAGTGAAGACTTGCAGTAAATAGGTTAAATGGGTGTTTGGATAAGCTATCAAAGGAATCAAGCTTGGAGACACGAACATCTTCTGGCACTGGGCTAAAACTGCCCCCCGAGACAGCTGGACAGCTTCCAGTCTCCGAATTGCTTCTTTCATGTTTCCAGAGTCACCCAGCTAAAATGGCCCCAACAGCATGGCTGGCATGAAGCTTCCAAGAAGCTTCACGTCCTTGCCATAGAGTGCTTGTCCTTGTTCGACATCAAGACGCCACATCGGGGTGTTTTTTTGTCACGATGGTTTCAATATGGTTTTCTGAGGTGGCTATCGACTGGGCATGGACTTATTTCTTGTTTTCCATTGCTTTTCGATGATTTCAGAGATGTTTCATGATGTTTCTATACATTGAATTCGGACTTGATTTCCATCTTTGGTCCATTTCCCTTTGTTTTTCTTGCAAAAACCACAAATCTCTCAGAACTTCTCAGGTCGCAGATCTAACGCTCCTGCACTCCCTTTTCTCCGGCACGGTTCGAGGGCCCAAAACGCCCGCCTCGCGGGGTCTCGGAGAGCCCAAAGAGATGGGTTTCGTGGGTCCCAAACCGGTCGGGGAGTTGCGAAGCACAGCCATCGAACAACTGGAACAGAGCACGACACGTTGAAAGACCGGTGAGTATCTGGCGCCTGGCGCCTTTTCCTACACTGAATCAACCTGGTAGCCATGGTAGCCATGATGTTGATGTTATTTTTTTGGGACGTCGATGTCATTCAACGCATCCCAGGGGCCCGGCCTAGGGGATGTGGAAGGTTGATAGATGTTGATAGCAATCAACAGGTGGATCCGGAACTCTCAATTTTCCAGGAAAGCTTTTCTCAAAGGACCGGTCTCCCGACCTCCCCGGTGGTCGTTCGCTCCAGGTTTGGACCCATGCCGAACCTCCGGGTTTGCAGCTTTCCCTGGCAAACCAAAACAATCGATTGTCTTGGTGCTACCGTAGCTACCATTTGCTACTCTTTGGCCTTCAACACGTAGCACTTCACACACACCCCAAACCCTGTACTTCAACACCGTGAGACATGAGACGCAAAGTTCTTTCGACGCACGTCGATCGCCTGATCCTCTCCCAACCGCGGCTCTCCTCTCCGCTGTGAGCTCGCTCGCTCCCGAGGCTGCCAACATGCTGGCCGCCCTCAGTGGTGCCCATGCCCAGAGAGTCGGAGCTGCACCGCACCCGATGGGGAACGATTCTGGGAACTCCCCCGTCTTCTGAAAGCGCTTCGCACGATCACGAGAAGAAGTGACCGGTGGTGGGTCTTCCCATGTTCCGAGACGACTCACCGCAGTGGTTGGAAGGGGTTCCATTGTGGTTCTTGGGGAGTCAAAACGACTCCCAGGTACATCATCCATAGGTTACGTGGAGCTCACCCCCAGGTACATCATCCATGCCAATCACGGTCATCCAACATCGGGGGCACAGCATCCACGCCATCGCAGCACAGACCAAATACACATGATTTTACTATTTCCAACTGAACTCCTTGTCAAGGCTGCCTTGGGCTGTAAACTTCTAGTGACTGTGCTTTGCAATTGAAACCCAAACAGCATCTTTTCTGTGAGTTCTTTCCCTGTTGTTGCCCTTTTCCTCGGAAAGACTTAGACTATAAAGACGACAATGTCATGTTCATGTTTTGCTCCTTTGAACCCGCCCCGTGGCGATATGAACTTTCACGCAAGCTACCTGGTCATTTTGACATCGTGCCGATTTTGCGAACACAACTCCACGACCGACCGACCGGTCGAACGACTCCACGACCGGAGAGACTGAGTGCCCCTGTGCCGACCTGGGCCCCGAGGTTTTAGTTACGATGACCAGAGAGACTCTGATCGACGAGCCGCTCGGGCGCAGTGATGAAGGACATGCTCCATTCAGGATTCCAGGTTTTCGTGCCCAACATGGGGGGAGAGATCCACCTTTATGTCCTGTGTTCTTCTTCGAAGAACTCTTTGACTCGGTGGGTCTCTGTGACTCGGTGGGTCAGAGATTCACCACATGATCGACGTGGAGTTTCGCTATAGAAACTGACCAGTTCTTCCGCCGCCCTTGGGCCTTGGCGGACTTTCGTGACATGGTTCATCTGGAGGATGTTGTTTTTTCTGTGCTGAAGAGCCAGGACCGAGAAATGCTTGGCTTTGAGCTATTAGATCAAGTTCAACTTCGATTCGACACCTGGAATGTCCACCTACTAAGTGCTCTTGTGATCTTTTTGTGTCACCGACCCACACAATGAAGCAGACCACCGACCCCGGTGGAACCGGACAGATCCCGCGAAGCGAAGGGAATCCTCTCCGGCTCGTACCTGGCGCACGAACCACACAGGTTTCCCGGTTTCCCGTTTTCGCGAACGCACATGTTCCACACAGGACGGGTGTCTTCACCCGGTCGACCGAATCTCACGGATGGCACGTCTGCCAGATGGAACGGATGTAGAGTTCTTCGATGAAAGGATTTAGACAAATGACGACAGTATACCAGGAGTCACATGTCGGGGTGGTGTTTAGTCCCATCCAGTGAGTGGATGCTCTGGGCACCCCTAACTAACCGCACCCCTTTGTGACTGCTGGTATACATTTCAAGTGGGAGGTAGTTGTTTGATTCAATATTTTGCATCACTCACCGCACTGCACTTGCAGAGGACTTGTGCACCCTGGGGTCATTTAGTAAACTGTCCACTATTTGCGCCACTCGTGTGGCAATGAGCGAACTGACCGGAGAAACCGGTCGCCCCAGTGGAGAAACCGGTCGCCGCATCCATCGCTGGGCACCTGCGCGGCGCCAAACGAGGCCTCCTGGCAGTGCCAAACGGTGTTGGCCGGAGTGCCCGAGGCGCGTCGGTGTCAACGCGCCTTCGGTGACCGCGAACGCGGCGTGGAACGCCGCGTGGTGACGGACGCGTTCGCCCAACAGAGGGCTCAAGCTGGAACGTGTGGAGTGCTGGGCGGTCAGCCATTCGAACTAAGGCGATACAGAGGGAATCATGGTCTTCGGTTGACCGATCTGGAGAGATCAGGTCGGACCTATTCTGTTCATCCTCTCGGTGGTGAAGCATCGCAGTCGGTCTCCCGGTTTGGGACGAAACGAACCAAATCAAACATCCTTCACTGAAGATCATGTCGACAGGTGGAGTAGGCTCCAAACCGTTCCAAACCCCTCAGTACCGGGATTGACCAAGAGCGGGTTTCCAGTGCTTCCATGTGCTTCCCAGTGAGTGTTCAGTTCCAGTCACTTGGCATTTTGGAGCGATTTGGATGGCTCACTCACAGTGACACCCAGAGGCGGTTTTGATGATTTTTGATGGCTCTCACTGGAGGGTCACACTGCACCTGTAACAGTGTAACGGGGAGAGACCCCCTGAGCCCATGGGAGTTTTATGGAGTTTTACAGTACACATGTGCTATTTTGCTTTCGCTTCGGTGGTCTTTGCCAGCCTTTTGCTGTAGCCTGATCCGAACACACCACCCGTGCCCGTGCACATGACCCGTTTTTTTTTTGCCAAGCCGGTGGGTCAGCCATCCAGTCTATGACCCCCCCACCCCCGCCGACATGACCCTGGTCGTCTGGTCGGTGGCCTCAGGAGCGGCTCATCTGGAGAATCGCCCAAAGACATGGCGTGGGAACGAACCCGACCCGGACAGCGGAACGAACGGACCCGCCTGCGGCGCGTCCAGCTTGGCGGACAGCGAGCGGACAGCAGTGCTGGGCACCCATTGATCAATGAAAAAGACCCGGGGTTCCCTTAAGGCGACAAATATTTCCTTTTTAACTGGATCAGATCTTGATCACGTTTTGGCTGAATGGTCCATGACGATTTTGCCAAACCTGGGGGAAAGAATCTGCCAGTATGCTGATGTAATCAGTTGGATCATGCTAGACTTTGGGTTGATCTACTGAGCGAATCATCCACTTGGAGTCTGATCCTCTTGTTGGCAGCTTCACAACTTGAGGCGCTCAAAACTTCACTTGCTGTCTATGTTCGCTTTCTCCTCTACTCAGGTCACATACCTGAAATCATCCTACATCACTTCTAGGTTGGAGGCCATAGCTTCTAGGGTGGAGCCATGTGGAGCCCATTGCCTTTAGGTTGACCGTCACATCCTATATGGCTCGGCATTTCACCGCTTCGTATCAGAGCTCGTGCGGCTCCACGGCTGTGTGCGCTCCGCGCGCCGCGAGAGGCTACCGCACCTTGTTCGGCTCCACGGCGTGCAACGGTGCCTTGGATGGTCCGGGTCGGCAGGAGGGGTCCGAGGGGTCCGGGTCGACCCTGGAGGGTTCTTCTTCGGATCCGTCATATCCTTCTCAGAATCCCTCCAGCTCCAAAGGCCAACGAACTTGAGAGGGGTCATGAGACAATCCATTCCAATCCCATTCTCATCTTTCCGCAAAATCGATTCCCATCGACTCGACTCAACTCGCTTGAGATGGGCCACCGCTCCAAGCGCCGGTGAATAAGCGGCAGGTTGAGCGTTGAGCCGAGCCCTGCTCGACTGAGGTTTGTTGGGGACTCGTTATTGCTTGCATCACTTGAAGCAGTTTGACCGCCCGGGCACTTGATGTTCGCCAACCTGTGAGTCGGCGACTGTCACGGACTGCCAATGGACAGGTTTTTTCTTGGCCCAGCGAGAGAGACAGGAACGTGAACCCCCTTCAATGTCACTCCTGCGTGTCCTTTCTACATAGAATACTGCAAGATGGCTGATGTTGGCCCGCCAAGAGGAAGTAGGGAGATGTGTTGGGAAAGAGGCCCTGGAAGATCTGCAGAAGGATGCCTTTCAAGATGAATCTTACATGCCAGATGAATCTTAGACATCCGATTCAACCAATTCTCCACATGGAACCGGGCTTGGCATGGAACCAGACGATGTTGTTTCCGAGTTTCCTCTACAAACTGGGCATGGAAGACTCAGGTTCCACATGTGTCTCGGGTGTTCAGGCTGTTGAGTCCAAACGCTCTTAGCCTCCAACACGCAGGTCGCCGGTCTCCCGGGTCGGGGTCGAGCGACGGGGGAGGGCATCGAGTGCGGTCAGCTGCGAAGATGGCAGATGTTGGATCCGAGCTCCACAGCTTGGTGTCCCACATTGTGTCAACAAACGATGTTGCTTGACTATATTTTTTATTCAGCTTATATATCCCTGGTATATACAAGGAGATACAAGGTATATATATACACCGAACAAGGTAAATACAAGGTATATCCTTCAAGTATTTTCAAGGTAACCTTCTGCTTCAACTAGGGCTAGGGTTTCTTCAAGTTTGTTGGGCGGAGGGCTCACTGCGATCTGGCGCTTGCTGTTGAGGTCCCGCCCACTGCGATCTGGTGCTTGCTGTTGAGGTCCGGTAGTGCTGCGATCATGGTCTTGCAGTTGAGGTCCGGGAGTGCCCACTGCGATCATGCACGTGCAGTTGAGGTAGCGCTCTGGCGCTTGCTGTTGAGGTGCGATAGTCAAGAAGACGCGGAGAGGAGAAGAGGAGGAGAGGAGGAAGGAGAAGAGCTCTGATAGAATCTAACAACCCTCGCTGCAACGTGCATGATGCACCAAAACTAGGAGGTGAAGGAAAAAGGAAGCTTTGGTGACTGCATGCTTGCATTGCATGATGCGCGAAGTGGCACGAAGCTGGCAGGTGTGCAGATGGGTGGCTTGAATATGTTGGACTGGGCTGAACCCGTCCATCCTGGCCTGAGGTGTGGTGCCATCCCTGGAGGTCGACCCAAACTGCTACAGCCAAAATGAATGGCACCAGCTCCTAACTGACAGGATGCTTGGCAAAAGAGGGGCTGCTGGGCCTAGCATGGGTCTCAAGGCTGCCATTCCAGTACACACACCTGTGTAAGCTTTTTCACCAAGCAGTTTACTGTTGGGGATCTGATCTCAATGGCTTTTCAGTGTGTCCGCCTCAGCTTGGGCTAGTGCGTCCGCCTTCTGGCAACTCCTTACTAGCAATTGTTTACAATTACCTCCCATGTTTCATCAGCAACGCCGCCACCAACAACGCCACAGAACTCAGCGTGTTGTTGTGCATTTTCAAACATCAACCAATGTGGCTGGATGCTGTGGCCGCAATCTTGGTTATTGTTTGATCTCTCTGTGCCATCTCTATGCTCGGTTTGTTGAGGAATGGAAACCGTGGTTGTGTCGGAGAGAAGCGGCCACACCAGCATGTGCTGGACTACGCCCTCCGGTTTCAGGAGTGGCCAGTTTGGTGGGGCGAGGAATCCATGAAGTAACTGGCCTCCAATCTTTGCGCAGTGTTTGGACCACGTCGTTGCAAAACAATTGTTGCGCATTGCATAGGGTGAAGATGTTGCAGGCACAAGTGAAACCCACCCTTCGCAACCCCTGCACCAAACTGGCATTGTGGGTGCTTCAACTGTGCCCGGGCAGTTTCAATCCATGTTGTTGATCCGTTACAAAGCTGAAGGGTTTGGATGTGTAAGATCCAAGAACGAACCCAGATGTGACCAAGCAGGTGACCAAGCCCTTCATTAATCCTTTCCACTCGCCCCCAGATCTAAGAAGGCTCGCCTGTCTCCTTCCTGTGACATCGGTTGTGGAAAGAACCTTCACGATACAGGGCCCATGGGATCACTTCGGTCGCCTTGCATCCTTAAAGCTTCTTTCACATTAATTGACTAGATTCTTGGTGACCGAATCATCCACTGTAAGGCACCCATTTCATCGGAACCGTGCAGAAAAACAAGTCGACTGCGGATGACCTCCGACCCCACTTTCCGGTGAGACTGGGGTGAGCTTCGGTGCCAGGGTAAAACAATTTCGGGGTGAGGGTGCCAGTGGCCAGCCTTGGACATTTTTGGACTTACGTAAGCTAAGCCTTGGCCACAGGTTTTGTTTGTGACCATTTACGAATAATAGTCATAGTGCATGTTTGCCAACTTTGGTTCAGCACAGGAAGATTTGCTTGAGATATTGGAGCACCCATGTCTTTGCTCTCCTATTTATCAAGCAAGCCGTGCAGCATTGCCCATAAAAAACTTACGCTTCATGTTGCGAATGACCTCAGAATGCTAGATGTTTGAAGACATGTCACTGGAGCGCTTCAATTGCAAAACCAGACGGGTCAAAACATAGGACTCTAGGATATGCAACAATTCAAGTCACCAATCCCACCCATTGTTTTTCCAAATGGAGACGGTGGTGAGTCTTGTCCACGTGATGGCACTCAGAAAAAGATCAAAATCGTGAAACCTGCAAGTGTTTGTTTTGCAGTTGCTTTCTTCCGGATGCATTTTCTACCCATGGTCTTTGACGTGTGCCATAGGGATTTTGCTTGAACATGGACCCCTCCCTGCCACCCCACCATCGGACAGAAAGGGGGCATGGGTGGGCGGGCGTCTTGGTCGGTCCAAAGTGACGAACATCCGTGGTTCGACGTGATCATCGTGGTGCCGGGATCCCATACGCACACATCATCCCACCCCGTCGACGTTTTTTTGAGGGGTGGGTGGAGTCGTCTCATGACAATCACCGGACATGACAGGAGATCCACGCGGACGTTCCAATCTTCGCCTACTTGCACTTGGAGGCCGTGGGTGACCGAAGGTGGTCACTCAGGTCACTCAGGTCACTTTGTGAGATATCTAGGGCGAGACCGTTCGACCGACCGACACGGGTGGAAAGGGCCACTGGATCCAGTTCGTGAGGCAATTGTTAGGGCAATTGCGGCTAGGAAGTGGATTTCTGCTCAAAGGAATTGTCCACCACAAGTGAGCTGATGGCTGATAGGAGGGTTTCGTGCAAACCTTACGTTCCAGCTCAGAATAGTTGGTGTTTGAGCATTTTGAGCTGATGGCATCTTCAAGGGTGATAGTGATAGACTACAGTGATAGTTTGTCATCAACATGCGCCAGAGGCTAAACATCTCAAGAACCTGGTCCTGCTTATAGGGTGTTTTTTTCCCCACTATGCATCCCTGTGGGTTCTTCATCCCTTTCTTGGGGAATCTGTGTCTTTTCTCCCGGCTTCCAAAACCCACGAATCCCGGGTCCAACACCGCCGGTGGTGTCCACCGGTGGTCGCACCAAGTCAACCTGACGACGTGACCTGATGGATCTTGGATTTTTTCTCCCCCATATGAAGAGGTGGTTCAATCCATGTTTGGAGGTTGGAAATTGATTCATCTAAGATCCTACAGGTCGTTCCACCTCCTGATCTCATGGGACAAATTAAATCGGCCTTCTGGTCCGCGACGCAGGGGTCAAGCGTCGAAGAGCAATCGCACCAAAACCCTTCGCCGAAGCACTTCGGCTGGTCAGACCACCCATGAAAGTCAAGATGCATTGCAGCTGCTGGTTGGGGCTGCCCAGTGGACTCTGAAACGATGGCATATCATGGAATAAACAAGCCGTAAAGAAACGCTTATACCTTCCGTTACCTTCCTGGAACGTCCTAATTCATTCATTGTGTGCGGCATGTCATATCTTTGTGTGACGTCATGAGGAATCCGCAGGTTCTCCGTGCTTCCCAGGAACGAACGGAGTGAACGATAGGTATACTTGCCTGGCTTGTACTTCTATTCACAGGTGGAAAATGTGGTATTTCGCCCCATGGTCGTTGAAGCTTTAAGCTTGCGAATTGTGCATTTTTTCTCCACCACTTCCTACTGTTGACCCCACCGTAGGTATGGTGTCGAGACAAAAATTACATTAAGATACCATACTGCCTATACTATACTATATATATAATACTATATACATTTTTTTTTCGAGCTGCTATATATATAGTGGTTTCAGAGTAGATGGCACAAACCCAAATATGTTTTTCATATGGGGTCCATATATACCACCTTTTGGGGATTGTACCATCTACTCTGAAACCACTGTATATATAACTATATATATATATTTATACAATTTTTAATATAGTGTTTTTGTAACACTACCGGTGTCAGACAGGTTCTATCAATATCAACGTTGATGCCATCCAGGAGATAGGAGTCCCACGTTATCCAACACTGCGGTCAGACCCTCCCCATGACTATAGAGACTGAGACTGGCTGGGAGCTGTGTCTGTCAGGCTTGATCCAGTCCGAATTTGGAACCCAGGATTGTTCAAGAAAACAATTACAAGGAATCCAGCAGGGTGTTGCTTTCTGAGGATTGAGGATGAACTCAGAATGCATCACGGCTTTGCACAGGGACAAAGTATAAGTATAAGTTTTGAAAGGTCAAATTGTCTCTATATGTCTCTACTATCTCAATGGCAAGTTGCATGTTTGCTGCTTCATCTATCTATTTTGGATCCAAGGGGCTTTCATTTGAAGGTGCTTGCTCCCAGTAACAGTCGTTCATCTCACCTGCAAGTGCTTCCCATGCACCTGCAGCCCTGCCGCGGACGGGCAGCAACCTGCCGCCGGTCGCCTTGTACTCTGATGCGACCACGTGCCAGTCACCCTAAGGACCAAGCGCTCGTGGAGCACCTTGAAGGGCTTGCCAGGTGCGGCCGGCTTTTGCATAGCAAGATGGAGCGTACGGGCCCGGGGTCTACGGCGACCTACAATCTGATCAAGTTAGGGATTGAGGATTGTAATGTTTATTGCGAGTGTGACCTATGAGTACTAGAATCTGTAGGGACCCACACACCTTCCCAGGTGTTGGGTGGTGGTGGGTGTGCTCTTAGATCGACAGGGAATAGTACAAAGCTGGCTGGTTCCACAACCAGTTCTATGTTGTCGGGGGGCCAGCCATAGGCCAGCGCTTCGATTCCAGCGTGCCAGGCTTCCGCTGGAGGCGCAGCCTGTGGTGGCAGCAACCCCAGCCAGCTTGCCATGGAGGGCGGACGCTTCTCTCTGCAGTGGTTGGTTGGTTGGTGCGGTTGGTCGGCCGGTTTTGGGGTGGGCGGCTTTGGACCGTCCGCGGTCCGCAGCGTTGGTCCGAAGGGTTGGGAAGGTTCTCGCCGTTGGTCGGACGCAACAGGGCTCGCCCGCACCGGTGTCGCCCGAGAGTTCAGGTCGCACACTCCAAAGTACCGAATTGGGTCAGCATTCTTTTCTGTATTTTTTCGACTTAGAACTTAGAACACCTCCTTTTTCAGTGGAGAGGGCAAAGATTGATTTTAGGCCTGGTTTGTGAGCCTGTGGTTGCAGGGGTTTGACTATGATGGTTCACTGAGAATGTCACCCATCCATTTCCTGAAAGACACCATGTCCATTTGTTGAAGACATTGAACAACCGTAGGAGATGGACCCCAAAGAATGGACGAAGCATGGGTCGCTTCCGAGCGTTTTCCCAAGGTCTTGGCGGGTGATCATGGCCCCGCCACCCAATGTGACGAGTCGGGGCGTCCAGTGTGCGATGCCATCGGGTGCGTGGTCGTTTGTTCTGCTCTCGGGAGATGGGAAGATGTTGGGTCAAACAGACCATGGAGAGTGGGGTTGCCTGCAACGGATGGAGAGCAATTCAGAATGATTCAATGGTTTCAATCATGGTAAGTGTGTTCTAGCACTTCCTACCTTACTGACCCTCTTCCACATGGTAACATGGTGAGCTGGACAAAGCTGCTGGGAATCCTGGTGGATGTGAGAGTGGCATTCCACATGATCGATCCATATCACTTTTCCAGCTGGGCGACCTATCACAGCTACCCTGAAGAACCCTTGTCTCTTTTTGTCGGGTTTGCAGCATGTAAACATTGTGTTTCGCTTCTTCCATGCTCCAAACTCAGGGTTTCACCCGGGTTTCCCAGCAAAACCGGGTCAGCTGCCGTCCAACGATGACATGAGCGAAGTTGCGGTGGATGACTGAATGTTTGGGTCTTTTTGGAACCCACCCCACGACAGAGCTGAAGTTTCCTCAGAAAATGGGTCCATGTTGCAAGTCTACTTGGTACCCTTCGTACCATCAAGTACCAAGTACTAGTACCATCCATGTTTTCCTGGGGTCATTGGCCGAATTTCTACATTACAGGCTCAGTCTGGTCCAAAGAGATGCAACCAATGCAAACCCTACAGGCTCAGTACGCAGTGATGTGATGCAATTTCTCCGAAGTCGGCGAACGAACCACAAAACTCCTCAGTGTTCAGTTGCAAGAACGAAGACACGGCTCCGTTTTTCCTAACTAACATGAAGTCCGGGCTGGGCACCCTGCGGTGGTCCGGCGGAATTCCACCAAAATCGGGAGACTCAGAGGTGGAGATCGGATCTTTCTTTGTTCTGCGCAGGAGCTTTCCTCTGGTGCGGGAACCCGAGCCGGTGCCGGTTCCAAGGCCCGAAAAAACGGGTGGCTTTCCACTGTCTTCGGCCGAGGTGAATACTGGTGAGGTGTTATGTTAACAGATTTACTCGGCCTGTAGACCTGGACCAGCCGACTCCTCCAAGAAGTGCTATATAGTAGGTTTCAAAGCGTAGGAAAAAATGCGATGCTTGACTAGACATATGATATTTGGAAAGACACAACATATATGCAGTGATGGGCGTCCCCAGGGAGATAGACTTGGAAAAAACATACACTGGATACACTGGACACTGGGATAAATATATATATATATAATCTTCTCAGGTTTCTGCTGAGGATTGGGCTTCAAAAAAGGACCTGTTCAAGCTTTCAGTGTTTGTTTTCGGTGTCCAATATACAAATGACCAGTCCGATCCAGTCTCCGCCAGTCCGCATTTTCTTTGAAGACTTGTTCGTCCGTGTTTTGCTAGAGTGACAGCACGTCCGTGTTCGTCCGTGACCCGTTCCTCACACGAACTGGAGAGTGTGCTCTGTAGGGTTTGTAATCAATTCTGCCCCCTGGAGTTGTGTCCTGTTGCACCAAGTGCAAAGTCCCCAAACAACCCAAAAATGACACGTAACATCTGTTTGGAGTGACAGTGTTTTTGACCTATGGCTGTATGCATACAAAGGTTGCTCCAACTAGGATCTATTTTATAGTGTTTGACAATGGTCTCGCACAAGCAAGGATCGTTCGTGGCACTGGAGAATTCCTTGTGATGACATATAAATGTCACATTAAATGCTGCCGTAGAATCCCGGACATGTCATTGCCCCAAGATGGTTTGGACAATTGCCAAGTCCAAACTACTGTAAGATCAACCTCCTTTGTTGTCAAGACTCCCAAACTCCCAAGCTAGTCTCAAGATCACATGGTAGAACATCCCTTAAACTTCTAACTGGATGCTTCAGTTCCCCGTAGGTCGTCGTAGTTTCGCCCGTTGATCGTCGCAGCTCCCGGCAGCTCCGATCGAGACCGACGAGGTCACCGTGTTAATGCCCGAAGTGCGCTTTCCCGACGAGGGCTGCAGAGGCCACCGGGGGCGTGGGGGCCGAAGAGATCGGTCAGTCGGCCATTCGAAGCGTCCAGAAACCCGTGGTTTCTGGATGATGAGTTGCTGCCACATGTCAGGGATGATATTATGGTTTATCCACCAAATACATCAGTGTGTGTCTAAATGCAGGAAACTTTGGGGTTCGTCTTCCATTGATGTTTCTATGCTGCAAGGTTTTCTTGATGGGTAAAGGACTTCTGGACACAAAGCAAGGAGTCGGTGAATCCTGGGCCTGTGCATTTTTCTCCAGACCCTTTGAGACCGACAGACTCGACTCGACTGTTCCGCCAGGAAGAGGCGGGTTGCTTTATGGCGGGTACGCACCGATCGCCCGAAGGTACGCACCGTTTCATGAACTTCACCCATTTTTCTACTACCAGCATCCAAAAAAAGGTCTTCTTTAGAGAGCGGTTAGGCCTTAACAGGTCTCAATTGGTGACCTGTTGGAAGGTGCTGGCATATAGTTTTATGCAATTTATATGGTTTCTGGGTGCGGTTGGTGATGAATCAGAAGAAAGGATTTTCGTGACATTGGAGGCTTGCAGTGACTCACCTGCATGCATCCGTGGAAGTTGGAAGACCCTTTTCCAGCTGGTGGACCACTTCATGGTGGCCACCACCCTGGGAGTCTGTTTGACTTCCCCAGGTCATTTTGTTTACCTTTTCTGGCAGAATTCTCCCACAAGCTTCCCTCACCTCTCAAACGGGCGTGGACCTCCAACTCCCATGTTGGGGCCGGGTCTGCTGGAGACGGCGCAGCGGCGCAGCGCGCGTCCCGGCGCCACGGACTGCCACAGGCGGAAGCAGCAACTGTGGCCTTCCGAAGCTCCCAGAGAATATCTCCAGGACGACCGCCGGCGGTCGCGCATCGCGGATGGTCCAGACGGATGAGACTTCTGCTTCATGATCGGACCATGGTCAAACAGGATGAACAATTAAGTCTGGTTCTCTTTGCCCCGCCATGGCCATGGATGTGGGCAAAGACTCTGGCTTCTTTTGAAGTTGCGGTATCCTGTATTGTTGAACAGTTCTTTTTTGCCTAAGAAGGCCTACCGGCCGCAACTTTCTTCGAGACATACCGGCCGCCAGGCCTCTAAGCTGCCCGGCCTCTAAGGCAGGTCTTACACCATGCTTCTTTATCTTAGACTCAACAAATTCCAACTGATGGTGACTGAAGACCTTCAACACTGCTTGGATACCCAGCGGCTTGGGGCTTGGGGTTGACGTCTCTGTTTGTTTCTACTTCCACGGTGAAAGATCTATGACTGGCCAGCACATGTTAACATACTTTTAACACACCCATAGGTCATGGTTTTGAGGACCAGGTATGTCGAACGCGTCCCAGGTATGTCGTTCCCCCCAAATTCCGTCCGACGGAATCGTTGGTTCCGAGCCTCGGCTGCCGAAGCCGCCACCGGTGGTGAAAGTGGCTCCAGAGGCTCCGTTCCTCGGCGTGCCGGGGCGACGGCGAAAGTGCCAGGAGTCACATTGGAGTTGGGTGGTTTGGCTCGTCCCATCCAGGGGCCGTGGATGTTCTGGGCACCCATAAACCTCCATGGATAGCACCCCGTCTCGTGACTGGTGGTGGTTGCTTCTTTTTCCGGCGATGGTTGTGCTGTGCCAGGAGTTTAAGGCGCCACTACCAGGACTGAGATGGGGCGGGTGGGAAGCTTCAGAGCGCCCACGGACTCAGGGACCCTCCCTTTTTTCTGGTTCCTTTGTTGATTGATGGAAACACAGAAAGCGATCTCCCCCAAACCAGATGGTGAAGAGTGGGTCAACATCAGTCAGTGAAGTCTGCTTGGTGTGAAATCTTCCTCGCAGCGGTCCAGATCGTGGATTAGGATGTGTGCATCATTTAAGGAGTAAATCTAAAATACAGATGTGGTAAATTCGGCTGTTTTGCTTAGGAAACTGAATCCACCATTCGATGAAAGTTACTCAAACAGCTGCTGACTCAAAGAAAACAGCTGCTTCCACAGGAGTTTGTGTTGGTGGTCCTGGTTCGGTGTCCAAACCACTTATCACTTATCACCCGTCAGCGCTTGCAGCGAGCAGCGAAGGTTCTGCACTGTAACTGGAGGAAGATCTCCTAGCTGGCTGAAGATCTCAGTCAAACACGAGTCAAATGTTCGATTGTCAAGTGGGCCTCCTAGCTGGCATGGAGGAGCTGTTTTCTTTTTTGGCTGCCTCAAAAGCACCCATGTCCTTGAAGAATTCGCTTTGCATCGCTTTTCCACCGGCCTTTCCCACCCCAAATCGGCCATCCATATGACTTCTTCATTTTGCTGTCCGCCTGCGCTGCAAGCAGCAGGACCATGGGAAGGCTTGGAGATCCTACTGGTGGAATCTCGCCTGGGCCTCGGACGGTTTCAGGGGAATCCCATGGAAAACTCACGACTTGGGGGGTCCTTCATCCACTTCATCCACCTCTGAAATCAGCGGCGCTATGCTATGCGCCGCCCAAGTGCTGCGCACGATGCCGTAGATTGACCAAACAACTCAATACGATATAGGTCAAGGAGATGTTTGGGCGGGGGATGAAGGAACCCCTATTTTTCTGGGAATTTTTTTCAATTTTTTTCTGGGATTTTTTTTCATATTTTTTTCCCTACTACTTTTGCATTTGGCTTTGTTTGCTTTTGCTTTTTGCTTCTGCTTTTGCTCTTGCCCTTTGCTGTTGCTTTTTGCTTTTTGCTTTTGCTTCTGCATCTGCTTTTGCATTTGCTTTTGCTTCTGCTTTTGCTTTTTGCTTCTGCTTTTGCTTCTGCTTTTTGCTTTTTGCATTTGCTTTTGCTTCTGCTTTTTGATTTTCCTTTTGCGGTTGCTTTGTTTTTTTGCTTTTCCTTCTGCAGTTGCTTTTTGCTTCTGCTTTTGCTTTTTGCTTCTACTTGTGCTTCTGTTTTATGGCGTTCTGCTTTTGCCTTTGCTTCTGTTTTTTTTGGCCAGGGTCTAACGAGCCTGTGTTGCCGCAAGGGGGCAGCTTTCAACACTGCGCTGGTTGCAGTAAAGACCCTGTGCTGCTGCAAGTGGCCAGCTTCC